ATGGCGTTCTGGCACGACTCAGGATCGTCAAGACGCAACATTCAGGTTGATATGGGGCGTTGGAGTCCCGAGAATAATGTTTTGGCATGCTTCAGGGTCTTCAAACGCTTCTCTTCCAACGAGGCAGTTCCCTCAGTGGACATGGTTCAACCTCGTTGATGGCTCTTGGGTTTAAACTGGTTTTCCTCCTCCTCCTCCTCCTGGTCCTCCCCCTCCCTGCCGCTGTGAACACGTGTCATCATGTTGCTGCACCAAGACTTGGTACCACCGATCCAGGCTCTCCCTGCGTTGCCCCGCAAGCCTGAAACCGACTTACCCCTGACAGGGGGGTAGCAGGGCATGCCGACGACGACGACGACGACGACGACGACGATGATGATGATGATGATGATGATGATGATGATGCTGATGATCATCATGGTACTGATGGTGGTGATGCTGATGGTGATGCTGATGGTGATGGTGATGGTGATGTTGATGGTGATGGTGATGGTGATGGTGATGGTGACGGTGACGGTGACGTTGATGATGGTGATGATGATGGTGATGGTGATGGTGGTGGTGATGGTGATGGTGATGATGACGATGACGATGACGACGATGTGATGACGATGCCGACGACGACGACGACGACGAGGATGATAATAATGATGATGCTGAAAATCATCATCATACTGATGATGATGATGATGATGATGATGATGATGATGATGATGATGATGAAACGGACAACGAGGATGATGATGAGCGGGATGATGATGAAGATGAGGACACTTAGGATGGTGGTAACGATGACAATGACGATGACGACGACGACGATGCTGATGATGATTATGATGATGATGACGATGATGGTGTTGGTGGTTACCACGACGACGAGGACAACGACGACGATGAGGATGATGATGGTGATGTGATACGATGATGATGGTGATGGTGACGGTGGTGATGATGATGATGATGATGGTGATGATGATGACGACGACGACGATGATGATGATGATGATGGTGATGATGGTACGCCCTCGGACTGGCGCTGCATGATGCCCGCGCGTGGACCCACATCGGCGACTCTGTGCAGTCTACGAAGTGCAACCTATGGGGAAAACCATACCGACCCACCATGAAGTACCAAAGGCTTTCACGGAGCACCACAGGGCACGACCAGAAGGCACCGACCAAGAACGGGGCCATCGAACCTCGACTGGAACGGCCGACTGCGACCAACAGAGCAATCATGAGGCATCAACCATGGAGCACCGAGCGGGATCGGCCACACGGCACCGACCGGGAACGGCCGACTGCGACAAGCAGGGCCCGTTCCGTAGAAGGCCAACGAGAAACCCCACGAGCACTAGTGGGCAAAAAATCAAAGAGCTTCCATAGAGGAAGAAAACAAGGCATACACCGAAACGTTCGCAGGTCCGCGCGGATTTTCTTGATCTGCGCTGGACACCCCTCCAAGGGGCGCGAGGAGCGCGCCATGAGCGGCGCCTCAGGCGCCGCCAGGGGGGCCCAGCGCCGATCCAACAAATCCGCGCGGACCTCCGAGAGGTTACGTTTATCCAATTGTTCTTTCTTCGATTCCAGGGCCCGCTTTCGACATCCAACCATTCTGATGATGGGGCACTCGCCCCCCCGAAACGACAGTCCTCCACAAATCACGCCAGGCTCGCGTCCCAAGCCGCCGCCCCGTTGAAAACTACGACGGGCTCGCGCTCCCGAGGCCACAACCCCTGGTGAACTAGAGCGGGCTCGCGTTCCCGAGGCAACAGTCCCTTTGAAATCGCGCCCCCCAAAAGCTTATGCTGCTCCCACCGCACTTGAGGACCACATCCCAGAAATAATCTCAGAAAAGTGTCGAAACGGTGTCGAACGAGTATCGCCTCCCCAGGCCCGACTCGTGGAAACCCTCCCTCCGGTTTCGGTACCTTCTTGGTGCCCGACATTCATACGGGTGGTCAAGGCTAAGAGTAGGTTGGGACATCCTAACCCGAGCTACGATCCTCCGCGAAAGACAACGGACTCGCACCATCCCTTTGCAGAATTACGCCAAGCTCGCCCCCCCGAGGCCACCACCCCTCGTAAACTACACAATTTGTTTGATACGCAGGTCGAGAGCGCACCTCTTCCGGTCGAAGCTAAGCGGGCCGCGCGAAGCTTGAACAAAGCAGAGATGGGGGAGGAAAAGGGGGGCGCAGCCACAGAACGAGGCCGCCCTCGTAAATATTACGCAGGGCTCATGGAAAAAGATCGTCGCCAGTGACGCTGGACCCTCGTCTCCCCAGCCACACGCCGCCTGCAGCCTACGCCAGGGTCGCGCTCCCGAGGCCACAAGTCCCGCACGATTGACGAGTCTGCGCCCTCGAGGCCACACATCCTTCGTGAGCAAGGCGCGCCCGAGTCCACGAAGCCACCCCACAGAGAGGCTCTCGATGCCACGAAGCCACCCCATCCCCTTTCCAGGGCAGAAAGACTTGCATGTTCTGCGTTGGGACATGTGTTCCAGAGGCGTTGCTCGGCCCCCCTATCATGTCCTGAGAACTCAGTTCGGAGCTCCAGGCCACGGATCCTCGTCAACAGCTTGGGGCGCACGTTCCCGAAGCCTCGAAGACCCGTAAATCACAGCGGAAGCGTACTCTCGAGGCCACCACCAGTGTAAAACAAATACAGACGCGAGCAAGCAGTCAGCCAGCAAACAGACCAAATCAACTGCCACTTTCCAATTGACACAACATTCCAATCAGCCAGGCTGCCAGCCAGCCAACTGACAAGAAAACCCACCAACCTGCCAACCAAGCGTGGCCATGCAAACAATATGGGGGGGCGAGCTGGCGGCAGATAGCGAAGTCCTTCAGATAAGAAAGCGTATCAAAGAAAAGGGAAAGCGGGACGCGGAGAAGAGACGAGGAGAGGCGAGGAGGGGAGGAAGCGGAACATTGATACTTTCGAACTCCAATTTGCAAGTTGAGATTGATGAACTCCGCTCGAACCCCTGAAAGTGTCCCTTGGAGATTGCGACGATCAGAAGTTTCATGCCCCCATCCCCAGCGCATGCTTGAAAACACTCCTCAACAAGATCCCAACCAGTACTCGATTTCGATCCACCCGATCCCCCAGCCCCAACACTAATGTTCGACGCGGTTTGTAGCCATTCCGCCGGAGAAATCGAATGAGAAGACGGGGGAAAGGCCCTGCTGGGAGGAAGGAAAACGAGGCGAAAACAGATTGTGCCTTTCCCCCGCGGCCTTCGGGAGCGACAGAAGAACGCACGCGTACGTGAATCCGTGTTGGTCGCGAAGGGGTGCACTGCGCGAACGTTCGTATTTCGAGGCTGGTCTCGCGGTCCGGGGGGCCGTACTCATGTGCGTGGCTGGGCGCGTACGTTATTTGTGTTTGCTGCCGAGTCTTTCCCGAGACGCGCCCTGCCTGGGTGTGCGCACGACACGGTCGATCTCCCATGGGCGGGCCCCTGTCCCTGGCTGGCGCCGAGGAACGACGGGCAGCACCTGCGGCAAGAGACCGAGCGCCCGCAGCCCGCCCCCTCGTCTCGCGTGCGCGCCCGGCGGGCGGCCGCACCCCGGCGCCCGAGCACAGGCCTCGCCCGCGCCCAGAGCAGACGCCCCCCCCTCGCGCCTGCCCGCACGCGACCCCGAATTGCGCGCGCTCCACATCCGCGGGAGCCTCGCTCCGCGACTGGCTGGCGGGGGCAGCGCCCCGCGGCCGGGGCGGCGCGCGCCTCGTGGCGGGGGCTCTGGGGGAGGAGGGGAGGCCTTCGCTCCTGAGACGGCGCTGGCCCTGCACCTGCAGAGAAGGCCCGCGCCTCCTCAGAGGCAGCCTGCTTCCGCGGAGCCTTTCCCCCTGCCCCCCCATCCCCCCCCCTCCTTCTGCGCGTGGCCTGGCCTCGCTGCGCGACTGGGAATGGCGCGTCGGCGGGGGCCTCGCTCCGAGATGGGTGCGGGGTCTCGCGCGGGGGCCGGCGCAGCGGCGCCGCATCGCTGGCGGCCCCGCTCCGCGACTGCGGTGGGAGCACCGCTGCGCGGCTGCGATGGCGCCCCGCTGCGCGACGGGGCACTGCGCGCGCGGGCTGGAGCCTCCCGCGAGGCAGCTGCGCCTCGTCGGCGGGGCTCTCGCTCCCGCGGTGCTTTTCGCCTCGAGGGTGCACCTGGGAATCGCAGGAAGGCGGACCGCCAGCAGATGGGCCGGCGGTCCGGCTGACACCCTCCCTGGCGGGCGCAGTCCCAGTTCAGCACACAAAGCTCAGACAAGAGGCCGCGGCCAGAAGTGCCAACACTGGAAAGCGGAACCGCCGCCCACCCCCCGCCAACGCCTCCGGCAGCGACCCTGCCAGGGGATACGCGGGAAGCGTCGTCAGGGCCACCAGACGGACGGCCGAAAGCAGCTGCGCGAGCGTGCTGTACGCGATCGTCCCTTGTTTAGCATCGTCTTCGCGTCATCTTCAAGTGAGAAAGGTAGCCGTAGCAATAGGTCCCCGTCACGGCCTGCATCACGGCCAGGTCCCTGACAAGGCGTTGGGAGAACGGTGTCGCCAATGACGTCATCTCGGATCGCCCTCACGTCAAAAACCATGACAAGCTTGAAAAGATAATCAGTGTTGTAAGTGGACGCGTTGGAAAACTTACTGTAGAGCGCATTAGGTGGGTGTAGCGAGAACCAGATACGTGAGCGCCAGGCGTATCAAGTACAGCACGCGTTTATAGAAATTGTGTATGTCAGTATGCACCTCACATGCAGCAGATGGAAACAATGTCCGAGGGAGGGTGTTGGAGATCATGTATATAATAATACATGTAGATTGGGGTTCCTCTCTCTCTCCATCTATCTGTCTACCTCTCTCCTCATCGCGCGGTTCCGCGTCCAGCTTGGGTCACGCAGATCCGAGAAAAACAGACGTGCTGTCTTACACCTTGTCCTCTACTTCCTCTTCCTTCTCCTCCTCCTCCTCCATGAGCACAGGGTTCGACGGATGCGGCGCAGGCCCCTTGGAGCAATGATGGCATCGGCGTAGAAAGCCTCCGCCAAGCGGGGCAGGAAGAAGGAGAAGGAGGAGACAAACGGACAGGGTGAGGACGAAGAGAGGGGATGAAGGGAGATGACGGAAGGAAAAAAGAACGCAGGGGTCGAGTCAAGGCGAGTCTACCGTCGCCCCGAGGTCAACCCCAGAAGGGCAGGCGCGCTGGACAGCGCGCTGGCTTCCAAAGACCAGATTGCTGCATGCAACTCTGCAGCGTCGAAAGAGAGTACAGGATAAAGCTGGTGGTCAAACACATACGACTTAGCGCCACATGCGATTGACCATATTCAATGTCAACCCTGCGCCGCATCTAAAACTGTCTGGCCGTTGCGTTCCACGACTCCCGTCCTGTGCCTTATGTAGAAGGAACAATGTCATCCCGGCGTCGGACGCAAGGCCGCCGTCGACAATGGACGGCGCAAAGCAAAGATACCGCGACGGATCTCGCCAACACTCGCAGTGATCAAGTCAAATATCATGTTCGCGCAAGTCTTTGGCGAAATATTTGAAGCCCTCCCAGCCCACAGCCAATTACCCCGTAAGACTGGTGTTGTCCAACATGCCGATAGCCTGCCTGATATGTTTCGACGATGCTCGTCTCCATTTCGGTGTGCACCTTCCGAGCCGTGTCGCAGCTAGCAGCCAGCACCCAGGAACAGCGCAGACGCACCGGCCTGCAGCCGAGCGCTGTGGAGAGATCACCGTGGGGCCGTGTTTTCCGCGCCTCGACGCCCAGGGGCCCTGGGCCTGCGGCCGTGCCGGGCAGTGGTCCGACGAGCAAGCCTGCGGCCGTGCCGGGGAGCCTTCCCCCGGGCGTCTCCGTCCAGCGTGTCCTCTCCGTTGGAGGAGGAGGAGGAGGAGGAGGAGGAGGAGGAGGAAGAGGAGGAGAAGGAGAAGGAGGTGGGGGAGGAGGAGGTGGAGGAGGAGGAGGGGTAGGGGAGGAGGAGGAGAGGAGGAGGAGGGGGCGGGGAAGAGCGGGCATCGGCTTTTAAGCGGCGAGAGCTCTGGGGCCCACGCCAGGGGAAAGCTGCGACGACGGAGAGCTGGGTGGGGGGGGGGAGGAGGAGGAGGAGGAGGAGGAGGAGGAGGAGGAGGAGGAGGAGGAGGAGGAGGATGAGGAGGAGGAGGAGGAGGAGGAGGAGGAGGAGGAGGACGAGGACGAGGAGGAGGAGGAGGACGAGGAGATCCAGGAATCCCATCGGCCCTCAGGGCGTAGGCTGCTAGCTCCCGCTCCCCTCCCTCCTCTTTTTCAGTGGCTGAAGCACCAAGGTTCCCGAGACGGCAGCAGGCATGCGGCGCGTGCTCAGCTAAGAAGCGAGTAGGGGGACGCGGGGGGTCTAACCTAGCTTCATCCTTGCGAATCCGAGTTTAGCACGCGCCCCCTTCCAAGCCCGGAGGGACTTCGCACTGTTCCTCATTAACACGCACTCCCTCCCCCACCCGACCAGCGACACACCCAGGACACTGCTAACTCCCACCCACAGCCCCTTTCAAAAAAAAACATAGAAACCGCGCACGGCACCATCATCTGGATCACGCGCGGATGCCCTGCGATCACTTCACACTGCGTTTCAACAGGGACGGCGGAAGCGCCAGCAGATTGCCTGCCGTGTGAAGGCCACCAAGCCCCCCACACCGTCCCTTGCGGAAAGCAATACCAAGAGCACCTTGCACCAAAATCTGGATCATGCCCCGGCGTCCCGAAATCGCCTTGCATTGGTTTTGCCAGGGACGGCGAGGGGGCCAACATGCTGCCTGGAGTGTGCAGGCCCACCATCCCTTCCACGTGCAGGCCAACAAAAAAACAAAGTGCACGTTGCAACTGACATTGCCTGCTGGGCGCAAAATCCACAGTGATGGCAGGCGCACACACACACACACAAGACACATTGCTGGCCACCCTGCCGTCACTTTGCATTGGTTTTTGACAGAGCTAGTGGGGCAAATATATTGCCCAATGTGGCGCACCTGGTGCGCGTGGCGCACCTGGCACGTGCGGCGCACCGTGCATCTCGCGGGCGTCGCGCGCCCGGCTGGCGTCTGCATTAGTTCCCGATGGTTGTCGATAGCAGCCTCTACCAATGCTAAGATTCGGGCGCTACTTATGCAGTGGGAGGGTGGGTGGGGATGGGCGAGACAGCCCGCGGCAATCCCGCTGGGAACTTGACCCCTCCCTCTACTCCCTACCCTTGACTCTGACGCACCCATGGTGTTCAGTATGTGGTGCAGGACCAGGTCGTAATGCCGATGAGATGGTGGGGTGACACATCAGATCGGGCGTCCGTGTGTTCCTGGTTGTCCTGCTTCGCGGCTCTATGCTCTGAACCTCCATGTTTTACCATGGTCCCTGATGATGTCACGCTAACTGGTGCCAGTGCTGGCACTTCGCTTCAGGGGGATCCCAGACCATGAACTCAGTGGGACTGGGGCCCAAGGGTCACATGCTGCCTATGTATTGGGAGGGCGGGTGGTAGTGAGCGAAACAGCTTATGACCTTCCGTTTGATGTCCGGGAGGGTAGCGTAACCCCTCCCCCATACCCCCGCCGCCTGGGTCTGGGAGGGGCGCCCCGCGAGGGGTTCGAGCGTCCAGCCTCGGCGAGAATGCAAAAAAATGATGTCCCTCAGGTTTGGGCCCAATTTGGGCCTCCTTGAGGGGCAACGCTGTTATGGGACCCTCCTCTGACCGATAGCATCCCAGATGACCCCAAGACGGCCGAAAAGGCCTCAAGAGAGCCCCAAGAGGCCTCCAAGAGGCCCGCAGAAGGCCCACGGAGGTCCCCCAGAGGCACTCAAGACACTCCAAGGCGCCCCGCAAGAGCCGGCAAGAGGCCCCCGAAATGCCCCAAGATGCCTCTCAGAGGCCCTTCATACAAAAACTCGACGAAAGACCCAAGGAAGCATCCGGGGGGCCTCTGGACCACACAAGCCCCCGACATCTCCAAATGATGCCACACCGGGCATGGTGTCTGGATGGGCTGGTGGGAATACTTTTTGGTCAACAGGCTCGCAAGGCGGGTCGAAAGCCGTCCGAACACTAGTCGGGCCGCGACTAGGCAGCAGGAAAACTGGTGGGGATACTTTTTGGTCTGCAGGCTCGCGAAGCAAGTCGAAAGCCGTCCGATCACTAGCCGGGCCGCGACTAGGCAGCAAGAAAAGAGAGGGGCGACTGGTGGGGATACGCGAAGCGTTAATGATAAGATTAGGTCGGGCATGTCCCCCTACAGGCAGATTTTGGAGGACAAATGAAGAATAGTCCAACAATGCTCCAGAAACGTCGTCCCCAGACGTCCCCCTCCTGTGGAGGGACATGCCAGACTTAAGAATAAGATCGGAGGAGGGCCAGTCGAGACAACGGCGCCTCTGCCGCCGAGCCCAGATCCGCTCAAAATCGGCCCTGCCCGGAGGCCATCCTGATTCGGTTTTCGAGGCGGAATCCTGTCGTGGCGCAGGGAAGCCTCCAGGAGGAGGAGGAGGAGGAGGAGGAGGAGGAGGAGGAGGAGGAGGAGGAGGAGGAGGAGGTAGGAGGGAGGGGGAGGAGGAGGAGGAGGAGGAGGAGGAGGAGGAGGAGGAGGAGAGGAGGAGGAGGAGGGGAGGGAGAGGAGGAGGAGGAGGTGGAGGAGGGAAGAGGAGGAGGGAAGAGAGAGGAGGAGGAGAGGAGGAGGAGGGAGGAGGAGGAGGGAAGAGGAGGAGGAGGGAGAGGATGGAAGAGGAGGGCCAGTTGAGACAGCGGCGGCTCTGCCGCCGAGCCCAGATCCGCTCAACATCGGCCCAACCTGGGTACATCCTGAATTTTCGAAACGGATCATGCCGTGGCGAAGGGAAGCTTCCAGAAGGAGGAGGAGAGGAGGAGGAGGAGGAGGAGGAGGAGGAGGAGTTGGTGCATACTAAGGGCTTGTAGTATGGGGGGGGCAGGACGGGCAGTTGGGAGGAGGGGGCAAAGGAGGAGAAGGAAAAGGAGTTAATGACGAGAATAGGGAGGGTGAGGGGAGGAGGAAAGAGGAGGAGGAGGAAAGAGGAGGAGGAAAGAGGAGGAGGAGGAGGAGGAGGAGGAGGAAAGAGGAGGAGGAGGAGGAGGAGGAGGAGGAAAGAGGAGGAGGAGGAGGAGGAGGCAAGAGGAGGAGGAGGAGGCTCAAAAAGGACGGGAAGAATGCCGGGGAGTGCCTCCTGCGAGAGCCGCAGGGCGGGGGACGGGAGCGGGGGGCGAGGCGGGGCGAGCCTGTCGCACGCATCGAGTGGGGTATCGGCTACAGGAGCGCGTTACCCGCAGATTGAAAATGCTCTCGGTTCTGCAAAAAGATAAAGAAGAAACAAAACACACACACACACAAAAAAAAACAAAAAAAAAAAAAAAAAAAAAAAAAAAAAAAAAAAAAAAAAAAAAAAAAAAAAAAAAAAAAAAAAATGATGTTAGCATATCTACGGACATTCGACGTGTGTTCTCGTCGGCCCGACGGACAAAGAACTCCTGGGGCAAGCCAGCTCTGCAGACGATCCCCTACCCGAACCCCGGAGCCACTCCGGCGCGGGCACGATGCGGATGGCGGAACGCGGGCGGGCCCGAGGAGAAGGGAGAGAACGGAGGGCAGGAGGTGGGGCGAGCAACCGAGGGGATGCGGCACCAGGAGGCGGAGGAGCCGAGGGAGGCGGATCCAGAGGGGGAGGCCGAGGGCGCGTGGACGGCTGGGGAGACGGAGGAGGCAGGGGGGGAGAGGAGGGAGAGAGAGAGGGCAAGCTAGGTGCGCTCGCGTCATATCTGACGTCCTACCCCTCCCTCCCATCCCTTACAATGGCGTAGATATCCTCCTGATTCGCACAGTCGGATGTCGAGCAGGGCGATGATCCCAAGAGGGTGCGCGATGCATCGTAGAGCACGGCATAGCAGGGCATAGCAGGGCATAGAAGAGCACGGCTGAGCGTAGTATGTCATTGCATGGCGTGGCGTTGCGTAGTGAAGAATTGCATCAGAAAGCATTGCAACGCAAATAATGGCATCGCACAGCGGCACAGAACAGAACATGGCATAGCATGGCGTTGAGGATCAAAGCGTAGCATGGCATAGAATGGCGTGGCACTGCGCAGTCAAGCACTGCATATCCTAGCATTGCAGCTGAAGGCATGACATCGCACAGCGGAACACCACATAGTATTGCATTGCACGCCGTGGCATGGCACTGGAAATGGTGACGCCAGCGCTGCAGCGGGAGCATGATTCGGAACGAGCGGAAGCACGGAAATGAGGCCAACGCTGCAGCGGGAGCACGATTCGGAACGAGCGGAAGCGCGGAAAAGAGGCAAGCGCTGCAGCGCAAGCACGATTCAGAACGAGCGGAAGCCCGAAAATGAGGTCAGCGCTTCAGCGGCAGCAACATTTTGAATGAAAAACCCAAGCGAAAACCCAAGTCCCGTGAATCCTGCTTAAGGGGGCCGAACATATTCCGGACGTTGCCAGGGGAGAGAGGATAATAGTACCCACACTGTGTAATTATAGATGGAGAGCGAGAGGGAGAGGGAGAGTGAAATAAAGGGATGAGGAACGATTGTGAGGAGAAGGAGCCAGAGGCCAGCACGTGCCTTCGCCCAGCCCAGATGCCTCCTCGCGGCAGATCTGGCAAGCAGAGCACTCGGCGTGGAGGACGCAAAGGAAAAGGCGCGGGAGCAACGAGAGGAACTGCACGGGGCACCAGCTCGGGCGGGGAAACCTCGGGCGCTTGGATCGGCGAAGCATCGCCGCTAGACCGGCGATGGGCCCCTGGCGGAAACGCACGATCCTGGGCCCGATCCGCGATGAATTTAGGTCGGGTGTCCTCCTACAGGCGGATTTTGGACGAAAAAGATTCATACAAGTACTGAACTTATCCTAGCGAAGGACCCAACCATATGCAGTTGCGGGTACCGCAATTGTGAATATCTTCTTCGGTGGAGCTCCCTATGGGGCCACGAAGCGCTGCACTGGGTGGGTGAAAATGCCAAGTTGGGTGTATGGGACGCATGCGGACGGTCCCACTGGGGGCTTCGGTGGAGCTCCCTATGGAGCCACGAAGCGCTGTACTGGGTGGGTGAAAATGCCAAATTGGGTTTCCATGGGCGCATGCGGACGGTCCCACTGGGGGCTTCGGTGGAGCTCCCTATGGGGCCACGAAACGCTGTACTGGGTGGGTGAAAATGCCACAGTGGCCTTCCAGGACGCATGCGGACGGTCCCACTGGGGGCTTCGGTGGAGCTCCTAGTGGGGCCACGAAACGCTATAGTGGGTGGGTGAAAATGCCAAATTGGGTGTCCGAGACGCCTCCGGATGGTCCCACTGGGGGCTTCGGTGAAGCTCCCTATGGGGCCACGAAACATTGTACTGGGTGGGTGACACTGCCCACTTGGGTGTGTGGGACGCATGTGGGCGGTCCCGCTGGGGGCTTCGGTGGAGTTCCCTATGGGGCCACGAAAAGCTGTACTAGGTAAGTAAAAATGTCAAATTGCGTGTGCGAGACGCATGCGGGCGGTCCCTCTGGGGGTTTCGGTGAAGCTCCCTATGGGGCCACGAAACGCTGTATTGGGTGGGTGAAAATGCCAAATTGGGTGTGCGGGATGCATGCGGACGGTCCCGATGGGGCCACGAAACGCTGTAAGGGTGTGGCGGACGCATGCGGCCACCCCTACTGAGGCCTCCGATGGGGCTCCCTATGGGGCCACGAAACGCTGCACTGGGTATGGCAGACGCATGTGGTACCCCCAATGGGGCCTTATGTGGAGCTCAGTATGGGACCACGAAACGCTGTACTGGGTGTGGCAAACGCATGTGGTACCCCCACTGGGGCCTTACGTGGAGCTCCCTATGGGGCCACGAAACGCTGTACTGGGTGTGGCAGACGCATGTGGTACCCCCCACTGGAGCCTTACGTGGAGCTCCCAGTGGGGCCACGAAACGCTGCCCTGGGTGTGGCAGACGCAGGTTGTACCCCCACTGGGGCCATACATGGAGCTCCCTATGGGGCCACGAAACGCTGCACTGGGTGTGGCAGACGCATGTGGCACCCCCCACTGGGGCCTTACGTGGAGCTCCCTATGGGGCCACGGAGCGCTGTATTGGGTGTGGCAGACGCATGTGGCACCCCCCACTGGGGCCTTACGTGGAGCTCCCGATGGGGCCACGAAACGCTGTACTGGGTGTGGCAGACGCATGTGGTAATTACGGGAGGAGGAGGGGACGCGGGGACCGTTTCTTCAAAACGAGGACCCACCACCACAGGATGGTTGGGAAAATATCGCCCCCTGACTATTTTTATATTACTTTCGAATGTTCCTCCTGTAGAGGGACACGCCCGACGTAGGACTACGTAGGGGTCGATGCTTCCTCCCGAACCAGTCCCCCCATGTCCTTGCCCCTGAAGCAGGCCGCGGCGGCTTCGGAGGCTGGCGCCGGGCGACGAGGAGCGGCGCCCCGAGCGTTCGAGAAGGCCGGCTGCCGCGGTGCCGTCGGAGGCGCCCCGAGGTCCGCGAGCGCCGCGCCGGAGTGGAAGAGACCTGCGCCGCGCCGATCGCGGCGCCCGCCGCTGGTCAGAGGCGCACAAACGTGGATCAGCGATCCTTCCCGAAGTGCGGATGGAGACGGGACCCGTCGCTGATCCACGCCCCCTGGATCCATGTTTGCGATCGCCTGGTGCCGCTGCTGTTCCCCACCTCCTCCACCCCCGCCCTCCTGCTGGTCCTGGCTCTCCCCCCTCGCTCGCTCGCTCGCTGGGGCTCAAGGAGCGCGAGGCCGTGGCCGGAGGATCCAGGGGAGCAGGCCGCGCGTACGGCAGGGGCGCACGAGTGAAGGATGTGCAGGGGAGGGCCTCGGACGCCCAGTGCCGAGGCTCTTCGGGCGGGGGCGGGGGGGAACACCCGGCAGGCAGCGGGCCCGCGCGCGCAGACTGCAGACTGCAGAGGACACGCAGCGAATCCACAGAGGCCGGGGCGGGGCGGCCGCGCCTGCGCCGCCGGAGGGGGGCGTCCCGTGAGACCCTCGTGGAGCCCCCGACCACTCACAAGGGGGGAGGCGGTCCTCGGGCCGAGGAGATCGGGGCCGTCGAGCCAGGGGCGCGCCCCGACACCACGGCCCGCGCCGCCGCCTCCTCCTCCTCCTTTCCTCCTCCCTCTCTCCTCCTCCTCCCATTCCTCCTTCCTGACTCCCTCCCTCCTCTCCCTCTCCTCTCCTCCTCCTCCTCCTCCTCCTCCCGATCCTTTCCGCCTCCTCCGCCTCTCTCCTCCTTCATCCTCTCCTCCTCCTCCTCCTCCTCCTCCTCTCTCCTCCTCGCTCCTCTCCTCCTCCTCCGCCTCCTCTCCGCATCCTCCGCCCTCCTCTCCTCCCTCCTTCTCCCTCCTCCTCCTCCTCTCTCCTCCTCTCGCCTTCCCTCCTCCTCCTCGTCCTCCGCCTCCGCCTTCTCCGCCTCCCCCTCCTCCTCCTCCTCCTGCTCCAGGGCGACCCAGGCAGGCCCTGGCCTAGAGGGCAGAAAAAAAACGCCCTCATGAGAAGCACCCCGCCGAGCGAAGCCTCTGGTAGGCGCGCCCAGGGAGGGGATCGAGCAGGGCAAGGCTGCCTGGTAAACGCCCTATGCTGTCTAGTGAGCGCCGATTGCGGGGGTCGGAATACTTTTTCCTCCCTCGACGGCTGCCAGGCCCGCGGAGGGCCGCGTCCTAGAACATGGCCCGTCCCTCCACGTCGGCGCAGCCTCCCTGTCCAAGGTCGCCCTGTCCAGTGGCGGTGCCGTCGGGGGCCGGCGGGCTCGACCGAGCAGCGGGGGGGTGCTCGCGCTCGCGCACGCCCTCGCCGCCTCGCTCGCGGTCAGGCGGCCAGTCGGCAGAGGCTCCCGAGACCTCGCCCTCGCACCTCGCCCCCGTGTACAGAGGCCTCCCAGGATGGGGTCAGCGCAGACGGGGTCGGAGGCTCGCGCCGCATCGTCGATGCACCGGCGATGCATCAGCGGCGTGGGCGACGCCGGCGTGGAGAGAGTCGGGCTCCGCACCCCGTCGCATGGCTGGTGTGCTGGCGATGCGGCGTGCGTCTCGGACCCCGCCTGCTCCGACCCCATCCGGGAGGCCCGGGCCCTCGCACCCTCGAGCGTCTGGAGCGCCTCCCCGAGAGAGGCGCGCAGGAGCAGCACGACCCCGCCCCCGCATCCGAGTCCGCCTCCCGCGGCAGGCGAGCGCTCGGCGCGGGCCACATGGCTGCGGTGGGCCGATTCCGAAAGGCTGAGACCCGCCCTCGATTCGATGACTCCAGGTTGGTCGTCGTTCCACATCCCCGCGCGCCGAGAGCACCCCGCGCATCCTGCGAGCGGGGCCACGAGGCGAGGACGGGTTCACATGGGAGGCCCAGTTGGGAGGAGTCGTGGTGGGGATGCAGGGGGGCAGCACCACACTGGGACATCTCGGCGCACGCTCGCACTTCCCTTGGGAGCCCACCGAGGGGGGCCCCAGAAGCAAAGTGGGGGATAGGGAGGCGCCGACATAGCGGAACACGCATCGTTGCACCCAGCACCCATATCTCACAACACGTGCGCATCCACGCGTTCTCCTCACCAAGCCAAAACATGTTCCCTCTCTGTGCAGACACACACCCGATGGGTCATCGCCAGTGCGAAGCGGGTGAAAAGATTCGTGGCCAGGAGACCGATCCTTTCGGACTGTCGTCTGTGTCAAGCTCGTAAGGGTGAACTCCACAAATCCCCGCGCAGGTTTCCCGCACTGTCCTAGAAGCCCACTCCCCCGGGGTCAGTCGGGGCTGGGGCAGAAGCACGGGAGCACGGGCGGGCGACACTTCGCCCGATTCTGGGCTTCGGTCGGTCGGTCGGCTGTCAGGCAGACAAGTACCTCAAAGTCTGTTGACGCGCCCCTTTGGTGTCTCTTCCTTTTGCCCCTTCGATGTCGCCCCTTTCAAACGTGGTCTGGGCTGGCGCGGCTTGGAATCAGCAAATACTCTTACGTCTTCACAGGTCGCTTTGGGCAAACGATTGAACCGCCTGGGTCACCATGTCTTCGCCAAAGGCTGAAATGAGGAGATACGCATCACATCGGCAAACCATTGGCTTTGGGGGAGGAAGAGTAACAGAAACTGGCACATCCAGGATCACATGGACCATTCGAGTCCATCACCCCGTCCTCATCGTCCTCTTCTTTCTTCTCCTCCTCCTCCTCCTCCTCCTCCTCCTCCTCCTCAGGCCTCCTCCTCCTCCTCCTCCTCCTCCTCCTCCTCCTCCTCCTCCTCCTCCTCCTCCTCCTCCTCCTCCTCCTCCTCCTCCTCCCAATATTCCCCCCAGTCCTCTCCTCATCCTTACTCCTATTGAGCAATTTTGCCCCAACCCTCCTTGGTTGGGTATTCGTTTTGAATAGAGCACCGCGGTCGCGTCTACCTCCTCCCGCCTCCCGCCTCCCGCCTCCTGCCTCCCGCCCCCCCTCCTGCTTGTCTCCTCGTCCCTTGCCTGGGGGGCTGCGATCTGCGAAAATGTCGCCACTTTCGAGGGCTGCTGGTGGGTCCAGCGGAGTGAGGCACCGCGCGGATCTGAGCGGTAGCTCGCCGTCCCTGGGGGGCTGCGATCTGACGAAACTGTCTTCGCCCTTTGAGGGCTGTGGTGTGGGTTTCCCCATCGGACGGATCGAGGTTCCGTGTGGGCCACCGCGCGGATCTGAGCGGTAGCTCGCCGTCCCTGGGGGGCTGACTTCTGCGAAAATGTCGCCACTTTCGAGGGCTGCTGGTGGGTCCAGCGGAGTGAGGCACCGCGCGGATCTGAGCGGTAGCTCGCCGACCCTGGGGGGCTGCCATCTGCGAAACTGTCGTCACTTTCGAGGGCTGCTGGTGGGTCCAGCGGAGTGAGGCACCGCGCGGATCTGCGCTGTAGCTCGCCGTCCCTGGGGGGCTGCCATCTGCGAAACTGTCGCCACTTTCGAGGGCTGCTGGTGGGTCCAGCAGAGTGAGGCACCGCGCGGATCTGAGCGGTAGCTCGCCGTCCCCGGGGGGCTGCGATCTGCGAAACTGTCGTCACTTTCGAGGGCTGCTGGTGGGTCCAGCGGAGTGCGGCACCGCGCGGATCTGAGCGGTAGCTCGCCGTCCCTGGGGGGCTGACTTCTGCGAAACTGTCGCCACGTTCGAGGGCCGCTGGTGGGTCCAGCGGAGTGAGGCACCGCGCGGATCTGAGCGGTAGCTCGCCGTCCCTGGGGGGCTGACTTCTGCGAAACTGTCGCCACTTTCGAGGGCTGCTGGTGGGCTTGCCACTTTCGAAGGCTGCTGCTGGGTCCAGCTAAGCGAGGCACTGCGCAGACCTGAGCGGGGCCTCGCCGTCCTTAGGGGGGCATGTCATGTTGTCGCTGCCCCGCCGACGTTTCAAGCCTCCTTTTGGACCTTACCGTCTTCCTTAGTGACTCAGGGGTTCACTGAGTTACTCATCGTGTTTCCCTTGATTTGGGACCTGCGAACCTTCCGAATGCCGCTCGCAGAAGTAAATTCGTACATGTCACGTCGCCGCCTTCTCGTCAAATCTCCCGAGCTACTCCTGCCCGGCATTGCGCAGGGGCTGGGCACGTCGCCAGGGTAGTTGTCAGATCATTAGTACGAGTGATTACAATAATACTATGAAAAAATGTCGAATCTGATGATACTAGTACGAAGACTGCGAGTGATACTGATAATGATAATGATAATACAAATGCGGCTACTAAAAGCAAGAGTAACAAACACAATAACAATACCACTACGAACACAAAAAAAAACACAAGCAACAGGATGTTGAATATAAAACAATACGAATGACAATAGAAATCAAAATACTCATGACTAAACATAATGGCAGTACAAGTAAGAGTACTACTAAAGTAAGAATATTACGAATGCTACTAACAATACGGTGGCTAGTTATTCTATTATTATTAGTTTTGTTCGTAATAGTCGCACTACTACTACTACTACTACTACTACTACTACTACTACTATTACTACTACTACTACTACTACTACTACTACTGCTACGACTACCTCTACTACTAATTATAATACTACTGCTACTAGTACAGACTCTACTAGTAGTAGTAGTAGTAGTAGCAGCAGTAGTAGTAGTAGAAGAAGTAGCAGCAGCAGTAGTAGTAGTCGTAGTGCTTGTTGTGAATGGAGCTGTAGCAGGAAAAGTAGTAGTAGTAGCAGCAGTAGTAGTAGTGGCAGGAAAAGTAATAGGAATAGTAATAATAGTAATAGCAGTAGCAGTAGTAGTAGTATGTGTCCTCATATCCCTCCTCCTCTCCCTCCTCCTCCTCCTCCTCCTCTTCCTCCTCATCATCATAATCAGCATCATCATCATCATCAGATTCCTCTTCCTCCACCCGACCTCCTACTCCTCCTCCTCCTCCTCATCATCATCATCCTCAACATCATCATCAGCATCAGTCACATCATCATCATCATCATCATCATCAAGACCACTAGCATCATCAACATCATCATGATCATCAGCATCATCATCATCTTCATCAACATCACCAGCAGCAGCATCATCAGA